AAAGATAGATATCATTTAATGCAATAGTCTAAAAAATCATGCTTAATGAAATAATTAATGATGAACAAAATATCAAAATTTTAAATAAAAACACGATCCAATTCCACACTTGTACAACTTGGCCTCACCCTAATTACAACCCTGTTACATCTTGATGTCAACTTTATTGTTTCCTGAGGTCACTGGGGAAAAAAATGACTGTATCTGCTTTACAGTTCCCTCTTCTGGGCTGCTCCTTCAAAATCAAGAGGGCTACCAAACTTCTTGATCCACAAATGCTGGCATTGATAAATTTACACAGAGAAAATTTACACAGAGAAAATTATGTTTAGTTTGCAAATACAATCTACTTTAGAATATGTTACTAATGGCAATTTTATTACACACACTTATACATTAAATGAGAACTATCTTTACAATGTGAAAAAGGTATGGAAAACCAATGTTATTCTAATATATATCTGTGCATGCGTGCACCTCCACCATCTACTAGAGCTACCTTCTCCACCACGCCACACCCCGACATGCTCAAATGCACACACATATACACACAAATACACAAACACTGAGTGCAGCTGAGGAGTTCTAAAATTTCTTGAGGCATTACCATTCATGTATCATAAGGCTTTTTATTTATTTTTCATATAACTGGAAGTAATGCTCTTTTCAAGGTATTCCAGATGAATCCAAGAAAGGTATAAGTAGTAAGCCTTTGGAGATGCCTTTAAATTCTACATATACCAATGAAGTATTTGTAAAGTCAGTCGACTGGAGAGGAGTAATGGCTACTGACACAGTGGGGTCTCAAAACACATCTCTCTGTATATTGAAAAAGCTGTTAGGAATTTCTATTCCTTCCACCAGGCATTTTCTACCAAAACATGTAGATTGCTGATCTCCTCTCAAAGATTTTTAGGACTCATAGTCAATTTATTTTACTAAGTAAAAATTTTGGCCCTGCTACTTCCCTGCCTGAGAGGGAAACCAGTGTTCTGGATTGCTGCATTGCTGGTCAGAACACCACTAGTGCAGGTTTAAAAGGATAGCTAGCATTTATCAGCTCACTTTCTCATTCTATTCTCCAAAACTCAACTTTTTGGGTTGCTACTAGCCAAGAAGGTTTCTTTGAAAGTTCAATTATTTGTGTATATTTGTATTAGCCAAATTGAGAGATGACTGAATGAAGACAGAAGGTCAGCCACAGTAACTCAGAGAACCATCCCTTGATAACAGCTAAGGGAAAGCAAAACTACTTTTCTGACAAGCATCTCATACATCTTAAATAGAAAATCTGGGACCTTGTCAGACAACTGTATAAATCAACCTTACTCATGAAGAGGAGAGATGTGTCAGTTTGGAATGCATTTATCTGTAGTCAACAGAAAACCTGACTATAGCTGTCTAATGACATAGGAGTTTATTTATAAGATGCAACATAAAGCCTGGGAGAAGGTGGTATAGAGATGCTGCAGCAGCTTAACAATGCTACAAGAAGTCCAAGGGCTTTCCATATTATCATAATTAGTATACAGACCTTTGTTTTATGGTATTCATCTCATGGTTGCAAGTTGGCTGCTTCAATTCTAGGCTTACTTGCAATATCCATGCCAATTAAGAAAAAGAAAAATGGGCAAAAGTCCTAAGGAACATGCTACCCCAGACTAGCCTTCCAAAAATATTTCCCTTAAGCCCAGTTCCTGTCTGCACTTTCACATCACTAGCAATAACAGAGTCATATGACATTCCTACCTGCAAGGGACTACAGGACTATTAATATTTTGGCCTAGCGTAGGGGAAGGCAAAGAAAAACTGGCCAGGAGATGGTTTTGTTGATAGTCATTTGTATTCATGTCCTATTGCTGCTGTAACAAATTACTACAAACTTAGTGGCTTAAAAACACAAATTTATTATCTTACTGTTCTGGAGATCAAAAGTTAAACTGGGCTAAAGTTAAGGTAGAGCTACATTCCTTTCTGGAGGCTTTAAGGAAGAATACATTTTCTTGCCTTTTGTAGCTTCTGGAGGCTGCCTGCTTTCCCTCACTTGTGGCTCCCTTCCATCTTCAGACTCAGTAATGGCTGGTTCAGTCTTTAACATCACTCCCACACTGACTCTTTTCTGCTTCCCACTTCTACTTCTTATTAAAGACTCTTGCAATTACACTGGACCCACCTGGATAATCTAGGGTAATCTTATCTTAAATCAGCTAATTATCAACCTTAATTCCATCTGCAACTTTAATTCCCCTTTGTCACATACTATAAGATATTCACAGGCACAGAGATTAGGACATACTTTGTGGGGCTATTATTTTCCCTATCACAGTCCACTCTATGGTCCCCAAAGATCCACATCCATTCCACATTTTATATATATATATATAAAATTATATATAATTATATATATGGCCCTGCTACTTATATATATTACTTTATAATATAATTATATATTATATATATATAAAATCCAAAAGATCTCATCTCTATCAACTACTCAGTGTGTATGCCTAATACAAATGGTGTACACCTGAGACACCCTGGCTTTTTCTCAAGAAAAAGAATATGCTTTCTTAATAGTAAATCTCCTAATTTTAGCATCTTTTATAACCTAATTAAGCTTAGAATTTCTCAAATCATCATATTCTGGTTCCTTTTTGCTTAACAGTCTATCTCATTCCTTTCACATTCTACTATAAGCAGCAAGAAGAAACCAGGCTGCACTTCAACCCATGCCTGGAAATTTCCTCAGCTAAATATCCAAGTTCACTGTTTACAAGTCCTCCCCCCCCACCATATTTCCCCTGCAGGACACAATTCAGCTAAATTTTCTACCATTATATAGCAAAGATTCCCTTTCCTTCAGTTTCTAATAACATTTTCCTCATTTCTTTCGGAACCCTCATCAGCAGTGACTTTAACATCCATTTTTCTACTAAGTCTCTTTACGCTTTGATTTAGGTATTCTATAAGGCAATATATTTTCTCTACCATGCTCCTTATTTCCTTCTGAGTCTTCACTAGCAGAGTTGCTAACATCTGTATTTCAACTGTGTGTCCAAAGCAATCTACGCTTTTTGTAACATGCTCTTCAGAATTCTTCCAGTCTATGCCTACTACCCACTTCCAGAGCAATTTTGACATTTTTAGTTATTTTTTACAGAAGCACTCCAATTCCAGGTACCAAAATCTGTATTAGTCAGGGTTCAATCAGTCAGCAGGAGATAAATATATGAAGAGATTTATTCCAAGAAAGTGACTTACAAGGTTGTAGGAGCTGGCTGGCTAAGTCCAAAATCTGTAGAGCAGGCAATTAGAAAGGGCCAGCTGGAAGTCTGGGGCATGAGCTGAAGCTGCTGCCCATAGTCGGAATTTCTTCATCTCAGGGAAGAGTCAGTTCCGTTTTTAAGGCCTTTCAACAAGGCCCACCCGGATCACCTACGATATTCTCTCTAGTTTAAGACTAGCTGATCAGCAACCTTAATTCCTCTGAACCTTAACTCCCATTTGCAATACAACATGACATATTCACAGGTTCCAGACATTAGGATGCTGATGTCTTTAGGGGGCAATTGCTCTGCCTACCACAGCATTCTATAGTATCCGCAAAGTTATGAGGCTCCTGGAGATAGACAAGTCCAGACAACAGAGCTGATTACTTCTTCAAGTATTCAATCCCTTCACCAACATATCCTTTAGTAAGTTTTCTTTAGTTAGTATTAATTCTACAATGTATTTTCTTTCAAATTCCTTATCAACCAGAACAACGTCACCCATAGGCAAGTAGATTGGCATGCTGTGTCATCAAAAGCTCCTCTAGGCCCAGAATTTGGAACCTGCTTGAGAATCTATCTGCAATATAGCAAGGGACATTGCAGGCAACATATTACTTGGTCCTTTAGAGTATATAAAAACACCTTAGACACAGTCAATCTGAGTATCATTAAATCTGTCTAGAACTCTTATCAGGATCATAACTTCGTAAGTTACGATATAAGGAAGAACCCATAAGTCTTTTCAACATTAACTTAGATAAGAAAGAATAGATGACAGTTATATTTTCATGAGACGGCATATGTATTTTAGAGCAAAAGTCTAATGATTTACAAGCTTAATTTTGAAATAAGCAGCACAGAATTATACATGTTGCTGCCTAATAGTAAAATAAAAATCCAAACAAAGCTTAGAAGAAATTGGATATAGGTAAACATAAATTGATTCCACCCCCAAAGAGAAAAGAGGTTATAGAAAAGTCATAGCTGCGTAGATAATAAAAACTAACAAGGAATCAGATATTATTAGGTGGTGTCATATAGTGAGAAATTAGTTTTAAAAGTAAAATTATGTTTGTACTGAGAGGTTAACTTTCATATTATCCTTTAGGAATAAGTACTAAACCTTAATCAGGAATACGAAATTTCCTGATGTAAAATTTTTTACTAACACAATAATTGGAAAAAAATTACACAGCAACAAGGCCAACAAAACAATGAGTAACGTTACTAAGGAAAATATTAGAGAAGAACGAAAATAAGAATTAAACATTATTACAGGCTGAAAAAAGAAAGGGAAAAGTGAAGGAGACAGAGCTAATGTATACAGTGGGGAAGTTTCAAATACCTAAACTATTCTGGAAAGTTGGCTTTACCTCCAGCTTCCTCCCAACGTCCTGACCTAGAATATTGGGTAAGACAGGCTTCAAGAATTTGAACTCATTACTCCCAGAATCTCCCGTCAGACACACCTCATACTGGTAGCTGTGGGACAGGGTCCCGGTGCCGCTGACGTCCACCAGGTGGCCCGGGAAGGGGCCCTCGGGCACCGAGCAGCGACCCGCCCGGGGCCGCCTCGCCCCGCCCGCAAGCC